TTGTCACGTATAATATGCTTTGGTATCCTCGCGTACGTCTGACAGAGATAGAAACAGTCGACAGTCGAGTGACAACTCATTGCAAAATATTCTTGTATTGTATCTTGCTTGTTACATGCCACGTCATCAAAGATAAAAATTGAATTCGGAAGTGCTTCATTCGGCGGAATCACATCGCTATTATTAGAAAAGGTAAAGTAACTGATTTCATCTCTGATGAAAGTGCACTCTCTAGATATTGATATTTTGGTTGTTGCAACGACTTTGAATACACGTACACGTTCTCAAAGCGTAAACCTTGTGGACTTTCAAGCTAGCTTAACACTACGTTTGTCCTGCTACAATTTGAAGGACCGCACACAATACCGCGTATAGTAACCGGTAGCATTATTCCATGTCTGCGTATTTTTTTGTCGGACATTTGTTGAGTTTCGGTGTCGAAATTAGTTACTTTGATTACCTTAGGTTGCCGCACGAACTGCATGGTTTTTTTGCAATTGTCTTGCGATAACAAGTAGCACCTATTTATAGTGACGCGTCGAGCATTTCTACTCAGTCGCCAAAAGACCACTGATGTCACACGTATGTTGCAATCTATGTCAGGTCGTGGATTGTTAAATCGCGTGATAAACGCTCTTCCCGTTGAATTGTATATTCCTGGTTACCAGTTTTGTGGAATGCGTTTAGAGAAACAATTAGCTAAAGGCGATCGGGGAATTAATCCATTAGACGCGTCTTGCCGTGAACACAATATAGTTTATTTGCGAAGCCACAAACTCGCTGCTTGACACGTGGCTGATAAGATACTCGCTACAAAGGCGCGCGATCGCATTACAGCGGCAGACTCGAGTCTCGGTGAAAAAGTCGCTGCGACCGCCGTGTGGGCGGCTATTAAAACAAAGACAAAACTCGNCATGGGTTTGAAAAAGAAAAACAAGGCAGCAAAAAAGAAGCAAATACTTCCGATTGCTAAACGCGGTGGTGTGTTACCGATCCTACCGCTGCTGGGTGCTTTTGGTGCGCTTGTTGGTGGAGCGGCGAAAGTTGCAAAAACGGTAAATGATACAAGAGCTGCGCAGCGACAGCTAGAAGAAATGCAGCGTCATAATCGAGCGATGGAAGGTCGGGGAATTTATCTGACTCCGTACGGATGGGGACTTTCAAAGAAGAAGAAAAAAAAACGCTGAAAAGACATTAAAATTATCTACAAGTTTAATAACAAATATGCAGGTGAAACAGCTAGCTAAGCGCATGCGCATACTTTTCTTTAGAGGTGTTTTTATGCGTAATACCTTACCGAACGTAGTACGTCGTAACGAGAGTAGTATCGTCAATTTAGATGATACAAATGGACCAGGTATCCACTGGGTGGCGTATGCAAAGAGANGAAAACATGTCATATATTTCGACAGTTTCGGCAATTTTCCAAAATTACCAAAAGAGGTAATGCGTTATCTAGAAAATGCTGTGGACAAAATAGAATAGAACCGTACGTCTTATCAACGTTACTATCAAAGCAATTGTGGCCAACTATGTTTGCGATTTCTTCAAGCGGTGGATAAGCAATTTTCATTTAAATAGTACGCTATTTGACTTTATTACACATTCGACAACATGTCACTAACGTTCACACTGACCGGCAAAAGTAGCACCCTTGCAGTCAGCTACTTTCCCGCCATTGATTTAAATGACGGTGATTACGAGCTTGGACTACCAGATTTTGAAACGTATTGTTGTGAGCCAATTTTTGTG